TTGTCATGGTTAATTGCAAAATTGCTACTACACCCATGAATGTGAATGAAACATGCAACTTAAAGATGATACTGAGAAAACAAATGCAAGAAGTTTCAGAAGTCTGGCTGGAGGTTTGATTTATTTCGCTCATACTCGACCATATATTTCTTTTTCAGTTGGTGTTGTTTTAAGGTTTATGAGCAATCCTTCAGAACATCATTTTCGAGCTACAAAAAGGATTCTATGCTATGTTGCTGGAACTTTAGATTATTATATTGATATTCTCATGTCTCAAATTTCAGGCTAATTAGATTTACTCGCAGCGATTAAGTAGGCTCATAGGATGATAGGAAGAAAACTTCAAGAAATATTTTCAGTCTTGGATCAAGTGCAATAACATGGAGTTCAAAAAAGCAAGTCACAACTACATTATCATCTTCAGAGGCAAAATATGTGACAGCCATTTCCGCAACTTATCAATCATAAGGCTTAGAAAAATTCTTGTTGATCTTCATCAATAGCAAGAGAAGGCAACTAGAATTTTTATGACAACAAGTCCATAATTGCAATGTCTAAAAATCTTGCATTTCATGGAAGAGCAAAGCACATCAGAATCCGCTTTCATTTTATTTGTGAGCTGGTGGCAAAAGGAGAGATCATGTTGAAGTTTTGCAACACTAATGAACAAGTAGCGAATATATTCATAAAATCACTTTCATATTTGAAGCATGTTTACTTTAAATCATTACTTGGCTTATGCAATTTCAAATAATGAGAAGTGTTGAATAAATTATTTAAAATTATGTTAAAATTTATTTTTTTTTATAAAAATCATAAATTATCTTTTATAAATAAAAATTATAAATTAACGTTTATGAAAAATTAAAATAAGATAATGGTAAATTAAATAGCGATAAATGGGCGGTTATGAAGAGGAAAATTAATTTTCTTTATCAAATTCATGCTTGGTTCTATCACTAGTTATATATAAGTTGTGGATTATTGTGTATAAGCATCCCTTTTATAATTGAGTAGGAGTATTATATTTTTTTTCTCCAATAGCTTTGATGCATCAATTAGCTGAATATAGTATTGCATATTGATTTCTTTAGATCATTTGATAAAAATAATATTCTGTATTGACTTGTTGGTATCAAATTTGGTATAATAGGTGAGAACAACTAGTAGTCTCCTGTTGAGATTTGATGTAAGTGAATATGATTCTTTGAAAAATTCAATAGAAGGATATGAATATTTAGATTATATGAAATTTATGGTTTTATGTTTCTCTGCTTTTATTTTTCTTTTATGGAAAAATTCAAATATAATATTCCTCCACTTTATGTAGGAGTATAAGAGAATAGGCTTGGATATCATTTGAAGTCAAGATAACTAATAGAATTGCAGCTCCACCATCTAAAACTGTTTATTCATGTGAGTTTTTCTTTTTAATCTCTTAAATTAATACATGTTCATTACTCACATATTCACCTCTTTGATGATAATAAAAGATACTTTCTGAGGTTAGTTTTTCTTTTATATGTACGTGTCAGTTTTCTATTTATGCTTCTCCTGGTGCTGCTGTTGCTCAAATCTCATCCAGGTGCTGTAGAACCTGTGTGTGTGTTTTTGAATTAGCTATCATAGTTTTTCTATAAATACTAAAATTTTTTCTAATACAAAAATTTTTAGGACGTACTCATATACATAGTCATGATGACTTAATTTAGATTGTCAAAGATTAGATTTTTTCTTAATTAATTAGAGTAAGTTTATTGAAGACATTTGGAAAGCTTGAATCATATACATAGTCATGATGACTTAATTTAGATTGTCAAAGATTAGATTTTTTCTTGGTTAATTAGAGTAAGTTTATTGAAGACATTTGGAAAGCTTGAATCATACATTCACAAAAATGAGAGAAATAACTCGCATTGCTCACTTGATGGCTAAATTCTGCTTTGAGCTGACCTGGAGGAAAACCTTGGGTTTGTTAAAGTCCTAGTAGATGCTTTTAATGAGCATATGACACTAGAATGAATGAGGTAGCATAGGCCAAGCATTCAACATTTTCATTGTTTCTTTAAGAGCTCGTCTATGCAACAAAACTCTAAGTATATGAAATCTTACAATAAATGTTGATTCTAAAATATAAGTATCTAAGTAGCCACAATATTAATTTGGCTGACAATCAAATAGACAAGATTGCCCAATAAACACGAGTATCTAAAAAGCACCAACAGAGAGCAAGTTGGGAAATGAAGTCCATTGAAAAAGTTTGCCCTTCATATAGCAAAGAGTTTAAAGAATAACTCATTAGCGACATATATATGGAGCAACCATAAATTATTGGACTAAATGAAGTGGGTCTTATTAATATGATCTTGTGATCTTAATATTGTTTATTATTGCATATAAAAAATAGAAAAAATTTCATTCATGAATAAAATTCATATGAAGTAGTAAATGATAAAATGAATGAGAATTCATTAAAAATTGAAAAAATGATTTACATACTATAATAAATTGTTAGCTAATAACCCCATCATATCTCACGTGATGGGGACTATTATTTTTTACATGCACTTGTTCTTTCAATAGATCATTTCGCTGAGTTAAGACTTATTGCAACATTGTTATGTGTTCCTAGCCAACTCACGAGCAAACAGCTTGCACAGCTAGTCTCCTGTCGGAGCTTGTTGCGTTGTTTCCTCCAAATGTTTTATCGGATACCTCAATCGAGCAAATTCCTTTTCCAACACATACCTATAAGAAGATTTAATTTTTGAAAATATCAATCAATGTGTGTGTATATATATATATAAACTAAAAAAGTAATGTTCATTGGTCCAGAATCAGAGATGATAAAAAATTTTTTGATCATCTAATTGTAAACGAAAAATTGAACCATATTGTATTTTTTTAAAAAAAAAACTGATCAGGTATGATTTTTTGATCCAATCAATTATGAACGTCCATAAACTCAATACACATTCCACATATTTTACCTTCTGCACAATGGACAAGGTATTAATTGCCTCAGAAGAGCCCTTTGAAAAGGAACCACATAATTCATGGTGGTCTCCGAAGCTAGCGAATTCAATTCCCATAATCTTTGAGCCTCCTTGGCATGATAATTCTAATGTGCTCCCTTCATATGCATTACCACAAACGGTTCCAACTGTTATTGTTTGGAAAGAGACATTTGAAGGATCTCCACCAAATTCTTCAAACAAAACCAATGTGTTATCTCCATTATTGAGGAATGATCTTGGGACATGGTACCTAGTACAATCAAGGGCTATCGTCATATAATGTTATTTTCTTACTAATTTTTTTCAAAACGTATAACTTACTAGAGGATACATTAATGAAAAAAATGTATATATATGTAAATACCATCTCTGAGAAGGATTTCCACAATTTGACACACATTTGTTTGCTGAATAACCTCCTCGGTAATCACATGTGGCACTACAACCATTCAGATCAGCTATTTGCGTAAGCCAAAATCGACCAAGGCTATTACCATTCACCCACGCATGTCCCTTGCCCATTCCTTGCAAATCCACTACTACAGGATCTGTGTATTGAGGTACCTTGAAGCTTGTCTATACAAGAATAGAGTTTAATCTTGAGTTAGGAAAAAAATTTGGAGCTCAATGATGCCAATTTTTTCTAACACGGGATAAGAGTATTAAAATAATAATACTCTTACCTAGTGTGGAGTTAAAACTTTTACCTTATACCAAGTCATGGGTCTCCCTTTAGGGACCTGTTTTGTGGTAAACCAAGCATGGCCTTTAGCTTTTTTTGAGTTTGGATCAAAGAGTCTTTTTGCTTCTCCGTTTAACCCGATCTTTAAGTCAACAAATTTAAAAGATGAAATATATCAATCATAAGTTTAAAAGATCATAACTTTTGATATTCTTTGGAGGAATTCCAACGAAATTTAGTTACCTTATAAGTCCATAGATTTGATGATAAATCTAACAAGGTAGCATTAGTTTTGGCATCAATCAATTTAACCGGGCCTCCACTAATGCCATTCGGTTGCACATCGAAGAAAGAGCCGTAATTCTGTAAATTTTATAGTGAAAATAAGATGAAATCCATACATGTTTATACTAATGTAAATTAAGGTAAGACATATCACACACCTGCAGTCCAACTGTGACGCTAAGCAAGGTAATAGTATTCTTCGGATGTTTAAGAGAGATAGGTTTTTGGAATTGGAAGGTATTCCCCATTTGATCACCTATTTCATCACAGAATTAATTTTTTTAAAAGGAGTTACTAGAATAAAAAATTATGGCATAATTTTTTTTAAAAAAATCATATACTAAAATATAATTACCTATTAACTTCTTGTTGACATATGCATGAAGGACTTCTCCAGATGAATTGACAGATAGAATTGCATTCTTTGTCTTAGCGTTGATGTTAAAACTGTGTCAAGTAGAGGAAAATAAAAGATGAATCATGTGTATTTTTCTAAAAAACTATACATACAAAATATCTAATTAAATTTTGAACTAAGTAAACAAAATATTTCAGTTTCAATAGAAATTATTTATTATTTTTATAAAAACTTCTATTTTATAAAAATATATTACATTCTATAAGAAATTAGCTTTTCAAGTTATATAGTTAATTCAAAATATTCTAATGCTTTATTATTTATTATTGTAAGAAAAACTCTTTGAATTCCATATAGAAAGAAATTTCACTCTTAAAAAAATTTTAGTGCCAACCACTATTTCTTTTTCACAAAAAAGTTTGAATGCATTTTTTTGTGGATATAGAAGTAATGTATTTTTCTTTTCGAAAACTATCCTACAAGAGTAGCAGATTAATAAATTATCGTACCTTGTCGTATACCATAAGTAGTCGCTTGACTCAGAAGATGCTTGTTTTTGATCAAGAAGCTTTGAGGCAGTGAAGTTTCCCTTTCCATGAAGGGTATCTTTCATGATCTCTGGTGTCCATGACCACGAGGCTGTTGCTGTCAATGGCTTTTTTACCATTATCGACGTCTGAACGTTTACCTTAGCAGTATTATAAATTTCTTTGTTACAACCTTCGAGAATGCTAACAGACCAAGCAGGCACAAAGTATTTTCCTTCTTGTTGCAAATCAATATTTGCATCTTTGCTTCCATCTATATTGCTCAAGTAGCAGAATCTCTCTCCAGTTGCATTGTTGGTATAAGTAGTAAGCTGATAATTATAACAACAACAACAATCAATATATCACATTGAGTTATCGTATTAGACAATAAATTTACTATTTTTGCAATATTTTGTTTAATTACATCGACTCCATTGCCTAGGTTCTTGGTTGTTTGTACACCATTTGTGATAATCTTCTCTCCCAATTTTAGGGCTGCATGAAGTTGTTTGAGATGTCCCCATTTCGGCTGATTCAGATTGCCTACAACCATATTGGAGTATTTTTAATTTCGACCTTGATCCGATAGGAAATGATAATTTTAATATTTCGTTGATTAATTACCATATTCATCAAGTGGAGCATCATAATCATAAGATGTTGTGATTAATGGACCTCCTGCTGTGAGTCCAAAGTTGGTTCCTCCATGATACTGAAATTTTATACGGAAAGAAAAGATAGTTAACCAACAAACAATATTGTCATTGGAAAAAAATATCAAGTTCTAATGGGTTATCTTGTAATTTAGTTTTAAAATTTTTCTTGTTATAATTTAATCTTGAAAATCAGGTGACTTGTTAAAATTCGATTGGTAAATCTAACCATATAATAATTCTGCAGAACGCCGCCCCTTTGGAAGAATCGCGCAACGGCAAATGCTGTGTCTTCTGCAGTTCTATGAGGATCCCTTTCACCCCATTTCTTAAACCTGTATATATTTCATCCATTGCCACTCAAGCTCAGTGAATTTGCATGGCAGAAAAATAAATGAAAGAAAGAAAAAAGATGAAATACCCAAAGTGATAGAGATAAAGAGAAATTAAGAAGAGGAAAGCTCACCATCCAATCCAATTTTCTGTCCACATTTTGGGACTCTTGGGATTGTTAGGGTTAAAGGAGTCGCAGTAATAGCCATTACAAGTATTGATCTATGAAAACATAGGGAGGAGTTATTTATATATATGTTATATGTTTTAATTTCAGGTTAGGTAAGTGAAAATATTTGATGAACAAAGAATCCATACCACAGACCGTGGAGCATTATCCTGTTGGCACATGATCCAAGGTACGCCAATGTTCTGAGCTATAGCCATTTCTGCACACCAGTTCATGTATGCAACTCCTGCCCCTCCATAAGGTCCCATGATATTGCCATATTCATTCTCAATCTGTCCATATATACACAGACATAAATATATATATACATATATATGCAACTATGGGACAATTTTCTTTAAGAAAGAAGAAAACTATAAGGGTGAAATGGGAGAAACCTGTGCAAGAATTATGGGTCCTCCTTGTGAAGCAAATAGCTTGGCCTCTTTGCAAAGGTTCACTATCTTGGTGGTGAAAATTTGCATCTCGTTCTGTAAGTAAATGAAGTAATTAAGGAACGTTAAAAGTAATTGAAAAAAATGTAATACAAAGTAAAGGAAACATAAAACCCAAAAGCATATAATATTAGAAAGAGTTATCCAATAGTTATTTAAACTAATATGGGTTCTCATACTTATCAATTTGATATTATATCCTAAGTGTATATTAAATAGGATTAGGATTAGGATTAGGACCTTGTATATTTCATTGTTTGTCCTGAACTCGATTCCTGGAATGTTGTGTAACCAAACTGGAAATCCTCTGTCAATTATAAGAAAAGAAGAAAAGAAATTAACTTTATAGCTTTTCATATCCTCTTATTTTTTCCTATGACTCAGAAGAACTTTACCCGTAAGTCCATTCGGCACAAGCATAAGGACCAATTCGGAGAATACCGTAGAGACCAGCCTGTTGAATTAGTTGAAAGAACTTCACGAAATCCAAATTTCCAGTGAAATCATACTACATAAAATTTCCAAGTAATAAATACATCAGTTACAGGTTTTCCTCATCTCAACCACTACAAAATCTACATACATATATAAGATAAAAATTCAGACCTCTCGTCGTCGAGGTTCATGTACATTCCAAAAAATATATGTTTCAATAGCATCAAGGCCACCATTTTTCGCCTTTTGTATTAGATCAGGCCACATCTGCATAAAACATATTTGAATAATGTTGATATCATTCTCGATTGCCTTATTTATTTATCAGTTTGTTGGTCGATTTATTTTCTTTATGAAAGATTTCAGAACAATAATTGAAGTATGGTTATATGGTACCTGCGGGGTGCTGCGAGGATAATGGATTGCACCAGACAAAATAATTCGACGTTGGCCATCGATGATAACTGCATTAGCATCATAGTCAATTTGTATAGCTGATGAAGATGAGCACAGGAAAGAGAAACTTATTGCAAGAAGAACAATAAAAAACCTAGACATTTTGATTAATGCATGAATATCGCACTGATATTCAGATTTTAAAATGCACATAGAGCACCACACATATATATAATACAATAGCCACTCATTAGCTGTCAATTCCAATTGAGGTTATTCTTTTATTAGTGGATAAATTCAAAGGATGTTTTCTTTTCATGAAAAATATGGCAAATCCAATTAATCTGTGTGTTATGGTAATGAATTGCGGAGCTAGCTGGAGAGACAACGAATATGTTAAGGATATATATAGCGCATATATATATATATACAACTGATATGTTAAGGATATATATGGTAGTCTTTTATTAGTGAATAAATTCAAATTAGAACTTTATTATCTTAAAAAATGGCAGTTTCACATAATTTTCTCACCAACATTTTAGTTAGAAATAATTTGCTGTTATGATAAAGAATTATGGAGCTGACAAGAGAGAAGATATCTGCTGAGGATATATATATGTATTATATATAGCATATACAGTCAATGGCATTGTTGTTAAACCAAATTCTCTTGGCATTTTATGTATAATTTAACTCACTAAAGGATCTTTATAATTCCTCGAAGAGATAACGATACACAGACTTGTTTTCTAAAACTAGGATTGTTATAATTGTTTGAGCTCATAATTTGCATTAACCTTATTACTAGAGTACTTAACCTTATAAAAAGATTTGGACTGAATCATATATGTCAAAACACTGCACATTTATGAAGAAGATAATAAACACCTAAGGACCTAACCAAACCTCAAACAAAGCTAAAAAAAATGTCTCAAATACTAAATAAGTAGTATTTTATCATGTTTCACTTCTGATGGAGAGAGAGTGCGACAGAGAAAGGGTGAGAGAATCATGGTCAACTTTTCACCAGGAGGGGTATAGGAAAATCTTGAAGAAAGCTAAAACAATGGGAAAGAATATTGATGTTTCCAAAGAAGGAGATCAATGATATTACTCTTTATTGACAATCCTAAGCCATCAATAGGAAAAAATATCATTTGGAGGAATACTTTGTTAAAAATAATAATATGCAAATTAAGAAAACTCTTTATCTTATAAGGAGTTAAGTTTATAAATGTGTTTTTCGATTTTGGTGGGTGGTTATAGTTTATGAATTAAACTTCAATATGAGTTTTTTAAATTTTCCTAGATAGTTATGATTCATGAATTACAGTTAATTATGATTCATATATTTAGAATTTTAAGAGTTGTGTTGGTGTTCATATAAACCCATGTACATATTTTTTTGCAAGAACCATAAATGAAAACTTGAGTCTTTCTATTAGTTTTTTTTTTATTCTTTCTTTCTATTAGTTTTTTCTTATTCTTTCTTTCATTTTCAATAAAATATTATTTTGAGATAGTTTATATCTTAAATTTTTTTCAACAAAATAATATCAGAATTTAGTTCTTTAATTTTATAAAATTTTAGAGAGATGGTTAACAATAATCTATTCGCATTCTAATTCTTTTATCTTACAAAAAAAATTATTGAGAGTTGGTGTGTTCGCATGAAAGCATAATTGGCTCACAAGATATATGAAATATTATAAACAAATAAAGAGAAATGTCTTGAGAGCAAAATCTCAAATCAAAGGTTTACTTGAATGATGGTAGAAGGCAAAAGGAATGAGAAAGAAGTAGATGGCACGGTCATGATTGTGGTCAAGTATATAAAAGAAATAACACTTAAGATGATGCTATCAATGAAGACAAAAGCCAACTGTAATACCCTGCAGACTAAGATTCTTGCAGGACCATTTGAAAGAAAATTTAGGAAAGAAAAAAAGGGGGAGGATTAAAATTTGAAAACATTGGAATTAATAAATACAAATTATTTTGTGAATCAGTATGCAAATAAAAAATTTACTTTTAAGAAATCTGATTTGGTTTATGTAAAAACACCGATAAATAAACTCGAGAAAAAGCTAAAACTTAAATTTAAACCCAAAAATTAATAAATTAGGGATTTAGGGATTCAAATGCAAGAAAACCTGACGTTTGAGAGCCTTTCCCATTTTTTAAAATGCACTAGGGACCAAAATGAAAAGGGGCTTAAAATTATGGGGCCCAATTGAAATTTTTTTTAAAAATGGGACACGTCAAAGCATGATGTATCTAATCTGCCATTTCACGTGCACCTTGTGATAAAAACGCAAATAGGGGGTATGCATGGCACTTTGCATGGTAGGAATGATCGGACGACCGTGGTGACTTCCCGCCCAATCAGACGACTAGGGAATCTTCCCACCTAAGGGTGTGATTGGATGATTGCCAATCGCTCCCGACTAAGATTCCTTCCCACCTAAAAGTTTATCAACGATTGGGAAAGCTTCCTGCCTAAATAGATCTGACGGTCCAAACTGACTCTCGTTCGAATTTTAAATCAACGGAAGAGATCACCTCCTGCCCAATCATATCATGTGGCCTATAGGTACAAGAAATGGGGGGACAAGGACCGCCATAGAAGTGCAGAGGACATAGCATTTGCTGTTGCACGATTTTTCCAAAGGGGTGGAACCTTGCAGAATTATTATATGGTTAGATTGTTCTCATAGTTGAATTTATGAATATTGATCAATTCGTTCATTTTTTATTCTAAAGATAATTTATTTTTTATATTTTTTCGTACCCAATTCAAATTTCAGTATCATGGAGGGACCAACTTTGGTAGAACATCAGGCCTCTCAATTACAACATCTTATGACTATGATGCTCCAATTGATGAATATGGTATTTTTAATTTCTCTATTTTTTAATTGATAAATTTAACAAATTTACCAAACAAAAAAAGTTTGATATATATAATCCTCGATTACATTATGTAACTCTAACCAGTCATTATTTTTCTTTAAAAAAATTTTGGTAAAGGCAATCCAAGACAACCAAAGTGGGGACATCTCAAACAACTACATGCAGCTATTAAGTTGGGAGAGAAGATCATCACTAATGGGGCAGCAACAACAAAAGATTTGGGCAATGGAGTCGAAGTAATTAGCAATAAAAAATTTTAAAGAAAATGCATAAAATTAACAAAAAAAATTTATTTAGAATTAAGTGATGATATGGGAATATGGATTTTCTGAATTTCAGCTAACCACATTTACCAACAATGCAACTGGCGAGAGATTCTGCTACTTGAGCAATTTGAATACAACAAATGATGCTAATATTGACTTGAAAAAGGATGGGAATAGCTATTTTGTTCCAGCTTGGTCTGTAAGCATTCTTAATGGTTGCAATAAAGAAGTTTTTAATACTGCCAAGGTCAACGTCCAGACTTCTCTCATGATAAAGAAGCCATTAGTTCCTTCGTTCTTTTGGACATGGGCGCCCGAGGCCATGGACAACATGCTTAATGGCATAGGTAGATTCAATGCTTCACAGCTTCTTGACCAAAAACAAGCGTCTTCTGATGCTAGTGACTACTTATGGTACATTACAAGGTAATTTTTTTTCATCTAAAAATTTTTTATCCTGTTATACCATAAACTTATTCTGAATTAGGAGAATTTACTTATAGTGAGAAAGGTAGCACCTTTTATGATCCTCAACTGGAACATATTTTTTTTAGGTTTGAAAGTTGTTCAATTCACAATACTTGGATTTAATGTATTATAAATAGTACCAAAGTAACAGGCAACCTAGTGTTTCTATGAGCCGGTTGTGGGTTAGAAAGTTATTAAATTAATTAAAAATGGTATTAAACTATGTATGAACTTGATGATTTCATTAAGATATTATATTGGATCCTGTATAGAGTTTATTATTGATTACAAGTATATGATACCTAAATTTGACATTAAAATGATTTCATTGAGATGTTATATTGGATCCCGTATAGAGTTTATTATTGATTACAAGTATATGATACCTAAATTTGACATTAAAATGATTTCATTGAGATGTTATATTGGATCCCGTATAGAGTTATTATTGATTACAAATATATGATACCTAAATTTGACATTAAAATGAATGTCCAGAGTCACGCATACTAGAGCACCCATCTTGCTTTATTCACTTCTATAATTTTTTTGCTTGAGATAGTGCTGTCGTCAATAAACCAGAATTGAAGAATGCAAGTCTTTATGTGAATTCTTCAGGAGAAATCCTTCATGCATATGTCAATAAAATCTCAATCGGTAATTACATTTCTCCAATAATATAATATCAGTTCAGCATAAATAAGGTTACTAACTAACATCTTTCTTTCTTAATTCTAAACTTTGGCACAAATGAGAACAGGTTATGAGATAGGAGAAAAAGGTTTTCAATTCCAGAAACCTGTTTCCTTGAAACATGGAAGAAATGTTATAAGTTTACTTAGTGTCACAGTTGGCCTAAGGGTATATATATCTCTTTCTCCACTATGTGAACTGTATGTATATATACATATATTTATGTTGAGCTTGTAATCTGAGTTGAAGTAGAAAATGGACAGAATTATGGCTCGTTTTTCGAGATGGAACCTAATGGCATTCGTGGAGGGCCGGTGAAATTGGAGGACTCCAAAAACGTTACTCTGTTAGATTTATCATCCAACACATGGAATTATAAGGTAATTGATTTTAGAACTATAGAAGATTTAGGCTCTAGAATAGGATATTGAAGTTGTTGAAAATGAAAATAATATTAAAATAATTGATAAAAATATGTTACGATTTTAAAAATAATTTTATCTTTTTTAAACGTTGTAAATAAAGCTTCATTACTATTTTTTAAACTTTGATTTTTCCAGTAGAGGTTACATATGATTACATATGAATATAATTAATATATGAAATTAAAAAATTCAAAAGTAATTTTTGACAAGTAGAGATTAGAGGGTTTGATGTTTAAAATTTGGTAAACACATGATTGAAGTGTGCCATTTAAAAGTATTATTGTGTTGAAAGGTTGGCCTGGATGGAGAAGAGAAAAGGATGTTTGATCCAAGCTCAGAAAAAGGGATTGGTAATGCCTGGAAGACCTCAGGAAAGCTCCCTATTAACAGACCCATGACATGGTATAAGGTATTTATATTCCTTGAATGATATGTATGTATGCATATATATATATATATATATATATATATATAATATACTAAGAGATTGACTCTTGCCTTGTAACAGACCACATTTAAAGTATCCAAAGCGATAGATCCCATGGTATTGGATTTGCAAGGTATGGGGAAGGGACAAGCTTGGGTGAACGGAAACAGCCTTGGGAGATTTTGGGTAACACAGACAGCTAATCCCAGAGGTTGCAGTGCCACCTGCAATTACCGAGGAACTTATGCAGTAGCCAAATGTGAGTCTAACTGTGGCAATCCTTCCCAAAGATGGTATATTAATTTCCCTCTTATATTAATTTGTTAAGCCATTTAAGTATGATGATACAATACTTTGATAAAAGGCATAGTTACACTTTAAAAAGAATGATAATCTTATATATTAGGTATCATGTTCCGAGATCATTCCTTAATGATCAAACAAATACATTGATTTTGTTTGAGGAATTTGGGGGAAACCCTTCAAATGTGTCTCTCCAAACAATAACAATAGGAACAATTTGCGGTAATGCATACGAAGAGAGCGTGTTGGAATTGTCATGCCAAGGAGGCCTAAAAATCAGCGGAGTCCAATTTGCTAGCTTTGGAGATCTGCAGGGATCATGCGGTTCATTCCGTGAGGGCTCTTCAAATGTTGCCAATACCATATCCATTGTGCAAAAGGTACTTTTATTCTTTTGCTTGTTCTTTAATACATTCATCGTATAAGTATACTTTATGTTTATTCATTTTAAGTTATGCTACTTTTAAAGCTATAACACTATCTAGCAATAGATATATAGTTGAACTCTAATATATGAACTAGATTGTACAATTTACAGGAAGAACTTTATGATCTTGCAGGAATGTGTTGGTAAAGAAAAATGTTCAATTTTTGTATCGGAAAAAATATTTGGAGATGGCTCCAAGAACATCATCCCCAACAGGCTAGCAGTACAAGCTGTTTGTTCATGATCCAAGGTTGGACTTAGTTTGTTTGCAATAAGGACTCAATTCTCTGTATTCCTTTCACCTTTTAGGTAACACAAAGAAAAATCAGCTTTTAGGTAACATAAAGAAATCTCTCCATTGTCTGATATATGTAACAATAACTTATTTTTGGTATATATCCACAGCATCCATTGATGCATAAAATTTTTGTGTCACACGTGCTAATGCAAAATCTTTTAAACTCAAAAAATCATAAATTCTCAAAAGAATAAGATTAAAATCCATGTTAAAGGTACAATCAAGATAGATATTACGTTATTAAGATTGAATATAAAAAACATAGGCTGATATTAACTTTTAATGACTTGAGCCCAAGGAATGGTACAATAATGTCTTAGTCAAAACTACTAACTCTTAGAAGTTTTATATGAAATTGTTAGCAATGAGTAATCAATTTGAAAGCTAATTATAGATATCTATTAATTATACTTGTCGATGTATGATGTAATAGAGCTATTACTATAATGCTCAGTTTAAGAAAATAAATAATTATTATTTTATTATGAATCTAAGAGAAATTATATTAAAAACTTATAGGACTATTTTATAATTTAGTATAAATTATTAAGTAATTTTTTAGTTATAGAAAGAGTAAGCCTATATCTAAGTTAGTTGTTAAGTTTTAACTAAAAGACTCTAACACTCTGAAAAGAGAATGTAAGAAAATAAAATGAGAGGAGAAGACGAAGAGGAAGGTTGCAACAAGAAGGTAAGTTTCCTAAATTTTAATTAGAACTCAGTTGCTTATATTTAGATATAGAATGATCTATATATATATACAAGGAAAAAAAAAGGTTACTGCAGTAATAGCATTATAGTCATATTTTTTTATTTTTTTTATCAATTTTCTACAACAATCTTGATGAGAAGTGCTTGAATAAATTTATGAAAAGTGACAATTAAGTAAAAAATTCAGTAAACAAATATAATAAAATATGCTTCAAGATGCACAAAAACAATCACAGAAAAACATAAGGATTTTTAACGTGGAAAACTCTTTCAATGTTAAGGATAAAAATCACAGAACATCTCTTAATTCAAGTAAAAAAGATCTACTATCAAAATTAATATTTAAAGCAACTAAAAGCTACCACAATAATACTCAAGTAAAGTTTCAACAACAAATCAATCAAATAATAAAAGATAAATAAAGGAATAGAGCAATATCATCGAAATAATTACTGTTCACACAAAACAGATGGGTTCTGATTGTTCAAATTCGATCACCACCATTCAGATCAAAGACTAAAATTTCAGCCCAATCAGACCACAAATGACCATTCGATCATATAGGAAAGTCAAACTAATCACTTTATGAAAAGAAAACGTGAACACTAATTTCGAACTGAAAATACCTTAAATCCAGCCATCAAAAAACGATCTCCACCGTTCAGAATGAATAACAATGAGTCCTCTAAATGTCCACCAAATTTTACTCTGATTGGAATACGAATGATTGTCTGATTCTTAGAAAAACTGAAATTGGTCGGATATAATTTTTCCAATAAAAACCCCTTTTTCTCTCCCTTTTTGTTCTCTTTCTTTTTGGTAGCTAAAACTTGTCTCAATAGTAACTTAGGTTAAAGTGGTATAGGGTAAAAATATTAATAGCCCTAATAGGCTAAAAGAAGTGGGCTCAAAACAACATGGGTTTTTCCCACATAAGAGGGAACCCAAAACCCAACAATTCTCCCCCTCTCAATTATGTGGAGGAGTTTGCCAAATCGGCAACCATACAACATACTTCAAAGTTCACTCTTAGTAAAGCCTTTGTGCATATATCAAAACCATTATCATCAGTGTCTATCTTCCTAAGTTCAAGCTATTTAGAATCCAAAACATTAGAAATCCAATGATACCTCATATCAATATGTTTGAATCTACCTGGTGGATGTCGAATCTATCAAAAACAAATTCTTAATTAACCAATTAAATTATATTATAGTAGTAGTAAGAAGGGTTGAATCCATAGGGGATTGGAAATCAATTTTTTTTCTTAACCAACGAATAAAAAAAATAAGGGAGGTTTTGTAGAATTCAATACGCAAAATATACAATAAACAATGAGTAGAATAATATTAAACAAACTCTTGGCTGTAAGTATACTAAAGCAATTATAAAAAAGATTCTTAGTTGATGAAATAGCTAGCTCCAGTAATGTAGTTGATCATAAATGCAAGGATATGTTTTACCCAAAATATGGCATACTAGTTATAGTTTTCGAAAATGTTCCGAAAACGAATCCTTCCTTATTCTTAAACCAACAAAGAAGCGTTCATTAATTAGTTATTTGCTGTCAAACAGTCCTGAAAATGTCCACAAAATTTAACTTATCAACAGCTTTGAGAGCTAAAAGGACCAAATTCAAGTTGTCGAATTCATCCACGTGAACTGGTCAACTAGATTACTTACCTCCTCAGTACGATACTGATCGCTACTTGATGCCAGAACCACTCAAACAATTACAGATTTAAGGGATTTGGCTAGCTGTTTATGGTTTCTTTTCTCGTATGATGGACCATGTTCAAACGGATTCAAAACAACAAATATATATAGGTGCAGGAAGTAAATAAATACCAATTCTAAAATAAAACTCAAATTAATTCAATTAGATCTCACAAATACATTGTTGGAGTTTGCTAGATCTATCACCTAGGAAAATAAAAATAAATCAGTCACTAATGGTGGGCTTCTCAACAGAACTGAGTTCTTGGAGAGCAGAAAAAAGAAGAAAGAAGAAGAAGAAAAATTGCAAAAGCAGTAATTGCTGTAATTTTAAGAAGAAGAGAGATCATGATTCTGCTTGGCATCTACGATTTATATAGTAAAAAGGGACTAAGGTTTTTGCCTTTTGTTGATTAGAATCTTTTTTCTTGATTTTTGGCTTATCCTAAGATTTTCATAATATTGTTTTCTTGATTTTTGACTCCAGATCTTAGTTGGAAGATATCTTTTATATCTTTGAAAAATGCACGTTTTAATTTAATTCTACTACTGTGCGCGACTCTTAAACTTTATCAATGTTAAGTTGTCCGTCTGCTGGATCAAGCCTTGCCTAAGGCTTGTTTATGGGCTGATGACTCTTTTCATGGTGACACAAGCCTTGGGCAAGACTCATTCCATTATTCCAGAGTTTGGCTTCTTTTCGACTCCAACACTTGAATTCCTCGTCCCTGCACTCTAATCATCATAGAACTCAATTAACTCAGAGAAAAATATTATAAATAAATTGAAATCATTAATGCAAATAATAAAAATCGAAAAAGAAATTATGAAAAATGGATGGATTGCCTCCCATCAAGTGCCCTTGTTTAATGTCCTAGGCTAGACATTGTCAATTTTTAAGCACTTAAATCAGTTTGTCTTCTTATAGCCTACACAGCTTGTTAAAACTTATCACCAGAAGGATCTCATATCCTCCCAAGAACATATATTTCAAATGTTCAAGCAGTTGTTTGAGCTCCAATTTTTGTGCCTATAAAATAGAAGATAGATAGTTTGTGTCAAAAATAAAAAGATCAACACACGATGCATTGCTTCTTTAAAGTTTAAGTGTCTCCAATTCGAACACCATATCTTGTAAATTCTTTTTAGTAGTAAGATCTGTGATATCCCAATTACTAATTAAGATATAAGGATGTCATATACGGAAACATATTACGAGTGCATAGTAGTTAATTGTATGCAATAAAGCAATTTATTACAAATCCCTTACAAAATATATGAGTTCCAATTACACATATAACTGAGGTCAGAAGTAGAAACAAAATACAAAATATCAAAATACAAAAATGGTCGCTTATTTCACTGTGTGAAAGTCATGCACTGAGATATAGATCCACGGGATCCTCAAAGATTTTAAAGGGTAGGTCAGCGATTGGTTCCTCACTATCTTCCTCATCCAAAGGGGGGCATAAAAAGGGGTGAATTCTATATACTCAGTAAGAAAAATTATATTTAAATAACATCATAAGATTTTAAAAGTGAGTAATTACGTCATTAATACTTACATAAAGAGTCATATCAGAGTCCTTTCTTAAATTATGAAAATAAATTATTTATTTTAAAAAATATCAAATTCATCATGTCATGGCAAATCAATCAAATCGATCATGCTGATAATAGAAAAAATCAAACAAATCATGATATGCATAGTTTTTTGTGTCATTTCTTCGTGAAGTTATTCTGACTTTCATCTACTGATAGTAGATACGAATTTTTAGCTACCCATATGGAATGACTAATTTAGATATAACAGAAATTTGCGGCTTGCTAAACTAACAGCACATTTGCGGCTTGTTTAATCATGACACGATCTATGGATACGGCTATGCTAACTACAGTTGTCATATCAAAAAAACTGTTGCCGCGGCCGTACTTCGCCAAAGGTGACCCCCACGGAAACATTGTTTTGCCACTCTCGTCAGAGGGTACGGCGTCATCCACAGAGAGCTGTCATCTCACGTCTTTTCAGACCAGATGGGGCAGAAATAGAAATCCCTCAGAGATAAAAAAAACCTAATGAAACATTTTATAAATTATGCATGTCAATACAGATACATATTTCTCATACTATTTCATGCTTAATCATGTTCTCATATTTCAGCAATTGATTTTAAGCATTATATCATTCAAATCACATGCAAATCATCACGTTCATGTACGATCATATAACATGCATTATCAAATAAACATTTACTTCGTTTAGACATTATTAGACAATCATGCAAAATCATAAATTCAAGCTTCATAATTTGGCTCTAGAAATGCTCGTTAGGATATGTAAAAGTAAATACTAAATTTTTTATCGAAACTTTAAAGTTTTCTATACCTTTTCTTCTTTTTTTCCTCCCCCTTTCTCTTTAGATCACTCCATCCCTCTCTAAGCTCTTGGAGGATGGAAGAATGGAATGGAAGTGATGAGGAAATGGCGAAGGGAGGGTCCCTATTTATAGAAAATAGGG